GAAGCAAAGCACAATCTATGTTTCCAACAGATTGGGAATGAGATGAAAGCTGATTATGAAGAGCACGACGCTATTCTGATCGCTCGTTGCATGATGCAGATCAAGGCAAAGTTTGATACTGATGAAGATCTGAACTTCATTCAACAGTATTACATCAATCAAAGACTGAAGAAGTTTGGTGATGATGGAAAGGATGATGTGGATGAGGAGTTGAGACAAATGCTCCTGAGAGATTGTTTCACTCCCAAATTTGTTAAAGACATGACCGCTTCTGAGGGAAAGAAGGCCCAATCAGCGATGATGTTACTCGCGGAGAAACAATTTGAAAAGACAATTAAAGGTCGCCTAGTATACCGAGGCGATAAAACTTGTGAATGGTTATCGCGAGAGGACACTGCAAGTCCAACTGCTTCACAAGAAGCAATCACCACTACCTGTGTTTTTGATGCACACGAAGGTAGAGATGTAATGACGCTGGACGTACCTAACGCTTTCATTCAAACTTATATGCCTGATGCTAAGGAAGGAGAAGATTGCGTCTACATGAAAATCACTGGCACGATGGTCCAGATATTGATTGCCATGGCCCATTAGAGAACGGAAAGCGAGTAATCTATGTGCGGGTACTACGTGCTTTATATGGGATGTTGCAATTGAGCCTCCTATTCTATACTCAGTTTCAAAGTGATTTGGAGGCAAAGGGATTTGTTTTCAATCCGTATGACCTGTGTGTTGCTAACAAAGTTGTTGATGAAAAACAGCAAACTATCAGATTTCATGTTGACAATCTTATGTCAAGTCACATGGATCCAAAAGTAAATGACGAATTTGCTGAGTGGTTGAACATGAGATATGGTTCAATCCAGGCGTGTATATTTGTCAGAGGAAAGATACACAGATATCTTGGAATGACTTTGGATTTCTTGGTGAAAGGAAAACTCAAGATCCGCATGGACGACTATGTCAAGAACATGTTGGAAGATTTTCCTATCAAGTTCAACAA